GTGCCGGCGCGGCGGTTCGGGTATCGGGGACGGGGACGGGGAGATTTGGGAGGAACCAGCGCGCTCGACCCCGGGCGACCTCCGAAACGAGATGCGGGCATCGTGGCACCGAGGTTTGCCAGGAGACGTGGGTCGGTCGCGCTCGGGAGGGTTTCTTCACGGGGCGCGATTCGGATAACACCGAGTCGGCCGGGCCGAACTCCCGTTGTTCCCCGCCTCGGATGCTCGGCGTTTTTAACGGCGTAACAGCCACCTTCCTTCATCTTGTCCCTCGCCGCCGCGCTGACCTGGTTTTTACCGGCCTAGCAGAGAAAGGACGGTGGTTGTTTGCGGCCGGACCGGCACCGACCTTTCATCCGCGGTCACGTCCAGCGCATTTCGATGTCCAGAGCCGTGAAAGCCTCCCTTCGCGCCCCCGCTTTGAGTGTTTCTTTGTTAGTTGGAAAATTGCTTTTTGGCTTTTTTTTTGGCTCGCCACCAACTCAAAGGAGGTGCTAAATGTTTCCGACCCCGTTTACATCTCGTTATAAGCACACCCCCCTACGCAGCTCCAGATCAGATGTTTGAGAAGTATCTTGGTGCAGGGGTGCCTACAGCCATCGCAAGGGCTGGATATTACCGGCAACGTTTCTCTACTAAAAATGTCTGCGCGGCCCCTTTTTGTCGTACACGTTTTCAAGCCAAAATGCTAAACCTCGGGGTAATTTTCCTGTGCGTCTGTGTAAAAGAGCAGTCTAGAAAGCTGCTGTCTTGTGATGGGCGCTGAGATGTTGCTCTCCTTCTCTTCTCCCCCCTAAAAAACAAGCGAGCGAAGCTCCAGCATCCCCCTGTACTGGGAGAATAGCAAATGAGGATCTGCTGTTTCCTGATGCGGGGCTGCCAGGCTTAAAGAGCAGCTGTACTTTTACAGAGATATTGCAGGAAACAACTTGTAACTTTGCATTTAACTGTACTCGTTTAAACCTAGACTGCATCATAGCTTATATCAAGGCACGTGAAGAAGATAAGTGCTTCTTGTACCACTTGTCGGAGTCGGCCACGGGAGAAACGTGGGCACGAGAATCCCCCCTGCCAGCTCAGGGCCGTCTCCGTCCATGCCGGCCCAGTCCCAGCAGCGGGTTTGGTCCTTGTTGGCAACATGGCCACCTCGGCTAGTTACGGCGTGCTTCAATTCATGGCCGCGCAGCAGGTTTCCTGCTTGTACCATTGTGTTTGCATGTTCGCACTTCCAGTGCTTGTATCGTGGCATTCTGGGGAAGCTGGACAACTGCCACATGATGCCTCGAGTGGGGCTAAAGTAACCGCAGGCCACACATGTACACGGGACAATGAGCTCTTGGATGCCTTTGCACTCAGAGCTGGGAAGAAAAACTGGCCAAACCAGTTAAAGGCACTCCCGGGAGGGTGTGTGTGCATCTTGCTGAACTGGTTACAGGATCACAGCCCCCTGCCAGGAGGGGCATTAGCTGCCATGCTTAGTAGCCAGGCTTCAACTGTGTGATGTGCAGACACAAACCCTCTTTAGCTCTGGTTAGAAACGTGATGGGAATAGTATGTAGGAATAAGAGGGGTGGGTGGAAAACTAATCTCAACTACCCTCTTACTCCTTTTGCATCCCAAGATACATGTGCTAGATGGCACTGAGCATAACAAAGCACGTGGCTGGCTGTTGAAGTTCTCATTTGGGTTGTTGTTGGGGCTGTCTACAGATGTCATTACTGGAATCCTTTTTGTCCTTTCTCCCTTTCCCTGGGTTATATGTTCACATACTTTATATCAGCGGTTCCCAATCTGTGGTACAGGTACCACCAGTGGTACGCAGACACCCTGTCAGTGGTACACATTAACAGATTTATTATAATTACTTTATATAACAAAAAATTGCTGGTGGTACTTAAGGTTGTATTGTTTTAAACTGGTGGTGCACAATCTGTCAGAGTTTGGAAACCGCTGCCCTACGCTGTTGCCCCCGCTCAAGATATAGGGGAGAAAAGTGGCCAGGTTTTTTTTTATTTTAATTTTTTTAAAGACATGCCTGTTATGCTCTTCTGATACAGTGCTTGCTGGCCATGCATCTGATCCATAGGGTAACAGATGCTGTCTGCTCTTCTGCCATACAAGCTTGATTTACTTTGCACATCAGCTTCACATTAAAGTGCAGTTAACTTATTTATACTTTATCGAGCTTTCCTGCAGGTCAGCATCATCATGGAGAATACCTGTTGGAACTGCAAGGTTTCATCTTGGAAGAGTGATCTGCACCCTGAGGGAGAACTGTTTGGATGGGGGCAGGGAGGATCATCGAATAGAGTTGGTAGCAAGCAGTCAGATAATAATTACTAGCTCTAAGGGGAAGTGTCATTGGAGGTTTGCTTGAGAATCCAATTGAAGAAGGTTTTTGGGTGGTTTGTTTTTTTTACAGCAAATAAGCAATGGGGTACAGGGCAGACTTCTTGCACCCATTTCCCCCCTCCTTTTTATCATCCATGTCAGTTGGTGCAGCTTTTTCAGCTTTCTTGCAGTTCCTTCTGTATCTTAGTTCTCCATTTCCCTCCACCCCCCTGAAAACCCCATCTTGTATGTCTGATCAGATACTTGTCTCTTCTGGTGTCTTGCTTTCTTCCCTATTTTGCCTCTTTGCTGCTGATCTGGTCATCTTTGCGCTTTGCTTTCAACTGACCAAAGAGCTTTGAGCTCTAGAATATGAGAAGCAGCCCTATACAGTCCCTCTTTTTTGTTTTAAATCAGGATTTGTTGGGGGGCAACCGGAGTAGCTCCTTTAATGCAAACCTCAAATGTAATCTAAGAAAGTCATGGTTTTGTACTAGTTCAGTTTATCCTTATTTATAACCATGGTAAATTCAACTGATGCAGGCTTTGGCTGCACTTGTCTGTACTTGGTGTTTGCACCCCCACAAGGCTTGCGGGCCACGAGTTGCTGAAACAGCAATAAAAACAGGGTGCTAGTGCATGGTAAAAAAAGTATTACTTATCCTGTCCTGCTGTCCTGGAGGAGACAGAAGGTCTGTAGTTTTGAGCTGGGATTCTGAGCTAGGGCTTAGTTCTGTACCTCAAGTGAGCCCTGCTTACCAACATCTTCTGTGGAAGTTTTTTTGCTAGCCCTTGTTCCTAAATGGGAAGAACAGCTTGATCACTATAACCACTCCATTTCCGTTCTAGCTTTTATTGTTATGATAGAAGAAAATGTTGTGATTTAGTGCCTAATTTTGTCTAGTTTCTCCAAGGCTTTCTTTTAGTATTGCAAAAAGTGAAGAGCTGCCTCTAGCGCTTCAACAGCAGTAAGTACCCCACCACCCTTTGAACAGGACAGCCTCCTGGAAGTTCAGATGGGGAGAACAATTTTTCATGCATTTTTCATGTCTGAAAGCATTTTTTAAAAAAGAAGGTTAAGAAACCCCCTTAGAGACTTACCATTCACGTGTTTTGTTAATGCCCCAAGGCTGTTCTCAATGAGTGGCCTTCATTTCCGTCCCTCTCCCCACCCCTGTTGCTTGAGAAGTGTCCGGCTGTTTGTGGATGGTGTGTTTCTGCTAATTCCAATAACTATCACTGCTTCTGTTCATTAGGAAAGTGCAGATGATGGCAGGGAGCTTTCAGATGAGGTTGAGCAGGGAAACAAAACTTAACTTTGGAAGGAGCCTGACAGTAAGCAAAGACATGCTGGATGGTTTAATAAGCTTAATAAGTAGCCTACACTTGTCTACTCTCTTTGAAAGAACTCTCCTGCCTGTTGTCTAGACTTTTTCTCGAGGAGACTGCAGGATACTGCTGGTAATGATTATGCAATTAGGAAGAAGCAGGATAAAGCTATCCAGGGTACTTCATGTCCAGTTCTGACGTCAGAAGTCAGGCAAAGGTCCTCGCCTTGTTCTCTGGAGTTACTATAAATGCAGCCTAGAGAGTTTAAAGCAGAGAGGCTCTCTCACAAGGCTAGCTGTTAATTGGATACTGTTGATATTTATTACACATTGGCACAGTTTGTTCACTGTATCGTGGATGCTGTAAATGTCTAAAGAGCTTGAGGTGTGGCAGGCTCGGGGACAGTGTTTGCGGGGAGCATAGGAAACAAATAGACCAGAGCTAGGTTTATAATTCAGACTGTGTGGTTCAAAGTGCTTGCTTGGTAGGCACTTGTTGCTGTGCGTGTCTTGCAAAGAATAGAAATCAGGTAGAGCACCAAGTTCTGTAGAAAACTCCTCCAAGCTTGTAACAGAGTCTCTCTCTGTAGACATGAACACCAGTCCCCTTTCTAGGATTGACACTTCCTGGACTACTAAATAAGTGGGCGAATGTATCTTTCATTCAGTTTATGGGACCTTCCGTTCCATTTCCATCTATGA